TGTTGCGTTAATATTTTTGTTCAGTATAGTATAATGGTTGGATATGACTTTGGGAGTTTCAGTATAAGCAAGAATTTGATACATGCCTTCAATTGCATTAGCCTACTTTATTTCAATATTTCCATCATTCAGTTGATCATAACTAAGATGAGTTTTACTCTCTCTGCGCTTTTTCTAGGCCCAATGGCTGTTTCCTCATCTCCTCACTCCGCTGCCGTCAGCCTCTGCCGCGTTCTTCTCAACACCAGTTTAAATCAATATAGCCTACTGTTTTCTAGAAATATGGCTTTTTTTAGGTTCGGGCTCATTTAATTTCTGTCATGTTGGACCAGAACTGGGCTCGGGCTTCAGCTCACCGGGCTTGGTTCGGACCAGGATCTAATTTTCAGTTCTGATGAGAACTTTAAACTGCATTCGGGTCTCATGGGCAGTCTGACAGTGTCAATTATGCGTGTGCTTTGAATTTATGGAGACTTTGTGTGATGTAAATACGCTAGGCTAAAGGCTTCGATGCGACAACCTGTTTGGATAATGTGCTCTAAAAAATGTTGCCATTCTGCTACTACACTACACATGTGTATTTTGTGAAATTTCATTAGTGGGACATTGGGGGACAATTTGGTAATTTTCCGGGTTTTGTCATTACATTTTTTCGGGAAAAGTGAAGAGTGGTCCCAGAACAGTCCTGAGATCCCAGTTACCGGTGTTAATCCATAGTAACTACCCAGCTACAAGCAAAGACCCAAAAGGTATGTTTTGAGGTTGGTCCACACACAGTATACGTATGATGTCGTTTCTCAAACGTCTTTCCAGGAAAGTTCTAAGTACATTCTTAATAAGCACTGTATAGACAATGCTGCTGAGAAAAGGTGAAATGGCCTTAAATACTTACTACATAACTTCTGCTTATTCACCTCTATTATTGATAGTTCTTCAGTAATTAATAATTGTTTCATAACAACCAGGAAAATTCATATCACTTTTTATCAGTATTTAGCAGCTACATACTAACTATTAACTGATTATTACCACGTTCTTACCTGGTCATTGCAGTCTTATTTCTGTGTTGTTTCCTATTACTGTCCAGTTACCCTGTTATTTCAGCACTGTAAACTGAAGTGCTACCGAGTCCAGCTAACAGAAAAAAAAGTGTTTGTGATTAACAGCCTCTGGTGACAATCATCTTTACCTCCCTGCTCTATTCTGTGCCATTGTTTGAGCCTGAGCCAAATGAAGACACACTAGGGTTTGATATTTTCAATACTATCTCGACAGGTCGGCTTTCATCAGATGTCTTCTCTTCTTCTCTGTCAGCGTCTCACAGATTACTTTCCTCTGATTATCCCCTTGCTACCTGTGAATCACTATGCCACCTAACCTGTCTGTTTGTCAGGCAAACCAAACCATGTATTTTCATAAAGATTAGCATTTTATTTTATTTTTTAAATACTTCTCCTGTGTCGTCATTAAAAGGAAGGTAACAATCAGACAGAGCATTTTAGAGCGAGCCTAGTGTTTTGAGTTCTGTTCAATGCTTTTCAGAGAACTCAGTCTGTTAAAAGGGCCTACCTGTGGGTGGTAAGGAAGCAGAGTTTAAATGGCAATGCTTTATTTTTGTCCAGGGTAATGCAGAGAAAGCACATAAAATTACAGGTAATGCTTGCAAAGGAACTGTCTGAAGTACAGAAAAGCCCCCCCCCAATTTTAAAAAAAAATAATCATACATATGGAACACAATACTGTATTAATATACACGTTTTTTCAGTGGAATTTTCATTATTTTCATTTGTTCAATGGCCATTGCTATGCAGGCTGCGAATTGTAGAGCGGATGGGGGAATCCCCCCCCCCCCCCCCGCTTGACTCATACCCATTTCTAAATGGTTATTTGTATTTTGGTAGATTGGTTGGATGTGATGCTTTAACTGTAAGTACCAGAGAAACTTGGTGTGCCATATTGTAAATATGTAAATACACAGTACTATATGTGGAGTGTACTTTAGAGGGAATCTGCATGGCTCAGACATCTTAACACTACATGAAGCAAACATTCATCAATATAATAGCAAAATATTTTCAACTCAAGAGTCCAAACGTTTATTTTCATCTTATTAACCATACTGCAGGTACATATAAATCCCTCTCGTGTATTTTATTATAATATTTTCAGTATTGTATCACCGGAGAAGAATATTAGACAGCGATTGTTATAAAGACATTAATTAATTCAACATTTACATTTTGTACGAATATTTACACTCCCATGAATGACAGTATAAACACCTTTCAATGTCTATATCATTAACACTTCTGTGTCATATTACCAGTACTTATACTGAACAAAAAATATAAACACAACATGCAACAATTTCATTGATTTTACTGAGTTACAGTTCATATGAAGAAGTCAGTCAATTGAAATAAATTCTATGGATTTCACATTAACCGGTAATACAGATATGCATCTGTTGGTCACAGATACCTTTAAGAAAAATGGGCCTCACAATGGGCCTCAGGATCTCGTCACAGTATTTTTGTGCATTCAAATTGCCATCGATAAAATACAATTGTGTTTGTTGTCCGTAGTTTATGCCTGCCCATACCGTAATCCCACCACCACCATGGGGCACTCTGTTCACAACGTTGACATCAGCAAACCGTTCGCACACACGACGCCATACACGTGGTCTGCGGTTGAGAGGCCGGTTGAACGTACTGCCAAATTCTCTAAAACAATGTTGGACACAGCTTATGGTAGAGAAATTAACATTCAATGCCATTTGCACGCTCCCTCAAAACCTCCGACATCAGTGGCATTGTGTTGTGTGACAAAACTGCACATTTTAGAGTGGGCTTTTATTGACCCCAGCACAAAGTGCACCTGTGTAATAATTGTGCTGTTTAATCAGCTTCTTGATATGCCACACCTATCAGGTGGATGGTTTATATTCAAAAAGGAGAAATGCTCACTAACAGGGATGTAAACACATTTCAGAGAAATAAGCTTTTTGTGCGTATGGAACATTTATGGGATCTTTTATTTCAGCTCATGAAACATGGGACCAACATTTTACATGTTGTGTTTATATTTTTGTTCAGTGTAGTATTTAAAAAACAACACCAGTAAAGCAAGAAAAAACAATACATGGACAAATTGATATAATATTTTTTATCTTCTCCACATCTTGGTCAGCGATCTTGTTTTGACAGTTGCTGAGGGTATTTTACTGCATGTGTGTGTAAAGCACTGTGAATGTACAGTGGCTTGCGAAAGTATTCACCCCCTTGGCATTTTTCCTATTTTGTTGCCTTACAACCTGGAATTAAATTGGATTTTTGGGGGGTTTGTATCATTTCATTTACACAACATGCCTACCACTTTGAAGATGCAAAATACATTTTTTTGTGAAACAAACAAGAAATAAGACAAAAAAACAGAAAACATGAGCGTGCATAACTATTCAACCCCCCCCCCCCCCCCCCCCCCCCCCCCCTATTTCTGCAAGTATCTTGGGGTATGTCTCTATAAGCTTGGCACATCTAGCCACTGGGATTTTTGCCCATTCTTCAAGGCAAAATTGCTCCAGTTCCTTCAAGTTGGATGGGTTCTGCTGGTGTACAGCAATCTACATACCACAGATTCTCAATTTGATTGAGGTCTGGGCTTTGACTAGGCCATTCCAAGACATTTAAATGTTTCCCCTTAAACCACTCGAGTGTTGCTTTAGCAGTATGCTTAGGGTCATTGTCCTGCTGGAAGGTGAACCTCCGCCCCAGTCTCAAATCTCTGGAAGACTGAAACAGGTTTCCCTCAAGATGTTCCCTGTATTTAGCTCCATCCATCATTCCTTCAATTCTGACCAGTTTCCCAGTCTCTGCCGATGAAAAACATACCCACAGCATGATGCTGCCACCACCATGCTTCACTGTGGGGATGGTGTTCTCGGGGTGATGAGAGGTGTTGGATTTGCGCCAGACATAGCGTTTTCCTTGATGGGGCCAAAAAGCTCAATTTTAGTCTCATCTGACCAGAGTACCTTCTTCCATATGTTTGGGGAGTCTCCCACATGGCTTTTGGTGAACACCAATCGTGTTTGATTATTTTTTTCTATAAGAAATGTTTTTTTTTTCTGGCCACTCTTCCGTAAAGCCCAGCTCTGTGGAGTGTACGGTTTAAAATGGTCCTATTGACAGATACTCCAATCTCCGCTGTGGAGCTTTGCAGCTCCTTCAGGGTTATCTTTGGTCTCTTTGTTGCCTCTCTGATTAATGCCCTCCTTGCCTGGTCTGTGAGTTTTGGTGGGCGGCCCTCTCTTGGCAGGTTTGTTGTGGTGCCATATTCTTTCAATTTTTTTATAATTGATTTAATGGTGCTCCGTGGGATGTTCAAATGTCTGATATTTTTTCATAACCCAAACCTGATCTGTACTTCTACACAACTTTGTCCCTGACCTGTTTGGAGAGCTCCTTGGTCTTCATGGTGCCGCTTGCTTGGTGGTGCCCCTTGCTTAGTGGTGTTGCAGACTCTGGGGCCTTTCAGAACAGGTGTATATGCTGTATACTGAGATCATGTGACAGATCATGTGACACTTAGATTGCACACAGGTGGACTTTATTTAACTAATTATGTGACTTCTGAAGGTAATTGGTTGCACCAGATCTTATTTAGGGGCTTCATAGCAAAGGGGGTGAATTCATATGCACACACCACTTTTCTGTTATTTATTTTGTAGAATTTTTTGAAACAATTTTTTTTTTTCATTTCACTTCACCAATTTGGACTATTGTGTGAATGTCCATTACATGAAATCCAAATAAAAATCCATTTAAATTACAGGTTGTAATGCAACAAAATAAGAAAAATGCCAAGAGGGATGAATACTTTTGCAAGGCACTGTAATTAATGTCTCTAGGACTTGGAAGGCATTTCTGTCCTTCCTTAATCAGATTCACTGGATAAGTCCAACATTGAGACGGTCCGGGGGTGGACAGACGGACCTATATGAAATACTCCTTTTTGTTTTCACTTAGTTCGTTCTGTGAGGTGGGCTCGCTGTGGAAAGGGTATTCAGGACTGTCTGCCTCAGGTTTGATGCTTTTGGGTTCTTGGCTGTGGAACATCTCTTTCCGTCGATACAGGAACCTTGCCATTATTGCCAACGCACACAGAATCACAAATATCACCATGGCAATCACACCTGCCGAGGAGTACAAAACATTGAGTTAAGAAACAACAAAAGGGCACTTATTTCAAAACAAAATGAATTCACATTCACTATTCCTTATGTTGTTACAGAAAAAAGGCACTTCGACAAGACAATAGTTTTTTTTTGAGAACACTGAAGAATTCTAACTAGCAACCAATTATGATAATTCCACATTGTGTAACTGTGTCATATGCATGGGTTTCAGAAGTAAAGACAGAGAAGGCACAGTGGCTGAGACCACATTAACACCTTTCTCAGCTCCACGTTTAGTTCTGTGAAATCTGTCTATGGCATGGGAGCCTTAACAGAAATAATATGCCATCTTCTCCTGTGGGTATTTCATTGCTATTACCCAGCCTGTCTGATTTCTGTTGTTAATCTAAACTCTAAAAGGCATTAGACAAGCTTCTGAAAGCCGTAGTTTATCTCTGTGCAAGGCACAGCACAAAGAAATCCAGTTCAATTCTCGCAAATGTCGCAGGCATTCATTTCATAAACCTTAGCTACAGTCCTTGTACACTGCTATGCTATGCATGGTGCATTTCATTATTTCATTATCAAGAGAAAAGGATATATCTTATTAGGAAGCCAGAATAAGGCGGGACTCAATTTAATGGTATATTACAGTGGTTTTAAAATGACAAAGTATTTGAAGATAGCTGTAAAAAGTTCATTAATCAGCAAATAATTTATTTAAACGTTTAATTAGTTTTGGTGTCCTTTGTGCATTTGGCACTGAGTCAGCCTGTATAAGGACGACTTTGAACTACTTTCTACATTCCAGCAATTGAACGGATGGGAATTAATCAACCTTGACTTTGAATCTGTGGCTAAAGTCGCTTCAAAGTTTAGTGATGTGATGCTGCAAATATGCCATATCAATTGCTGAAATATTTCATTTATTGATTTAATTAAAATTGTATTTACACAGGGTTGTCTCATTGAGAAAAATATATACAGTGCCCTCCGTAATTATTGGGACAGTGAAGCATTTTTTCTTATTTTGGCTCTATACTCCAAAAGTTTGGATTTGAAATCAAACAATGACTATGTGGTTAAAGTGCAGACTGTCAGCTTTAATCCATATCGGGTGAACCGTTTAGAAATTACTTCACTTCTTGTACATAGTGACCCCATTTTTATGGGCGCAAAAGTATTGGGACAAATTCACTTATATGTGTATTAAAGTAGTACAAAGTTAAGTATTTGTTCCCATATTCATAGCACCCAATGACTACATCAAGTTTGTGACTACACATTTGTTGGATGCATTTGGTCTTTGTTTTGGTTGTGTTTCATATTATTTTGTGCCCAATAGAAATGGAGTCACTTTTATTGTAAATAAGAATATAATATATTTCTAAACACTTCCACATTAATGTGGATGCTACCATGATTATAGATAATCCTGAATTAATCGTGAATAATGATGAGTGAGAAAGTTACAGATGCACAAATATCATACCCCCAAGACAAGCTAACCTCGCACCATTACAATAACAGGGGAGGGTAGCATTTTTTTGGGGGGGTATGATATTTGTGCATCTGTAACTTTGTCACTCATCATGTAATCTCTAAACAGTTCACCAAATATGGATGAAAATACCCTAAAATTAAAGCTGACAGTCTGCACTAACCTCATAGACATTGTTTTATTTCACTTTTGAAGTATACAGTCAAAAAAAGAAAAAACGCTTCACTGTCCCAATAATTACAGAGGGCACTGTATTTTCCAAGTGAGCCCTGTATCATCAACATTCTCTATTTTGACCAGGATAATTTAATACCTGCCATGATGTTGTTTCACTAAATACAACTATGGATTATTGTGACATGAGAAACATGTTCCTGTTACCTCCAATCAATCCAGAGTCACTCTTGATTGCATTAACTATAGGCTCACCAGTACCTACTGTACCTGAATGATCTACAGCAGAGAGAGAGATACACAGAAAGAGAGACATAGAAATAGAGAGCAAGAGACAGCAGAAAAAAGAAATAGAGATAGAGGAGAAAAGAAAGGATAAGAAAGACAAAAGAGAATCAGTAACATCCATCATCAGTCCATGCAGGGTTCATTTAACACTGCACCCTCAGTCATAAACTGCATGAGGATGACCACCAAAGAAAGATTATGCAAATGAGAAATCTCTCTCATACAAATTCATTAGCTCATCTGCCACAGTGTAATCACTTTCATTCTCATTTAATTAACAAGGAAGATGGTGTACGTATTAAATGGACCCTTGATAAAGTTTGAAAAGCAGTTCAGAAAAGAAGCGTAGATTCTCAAGTGGAGTTAAAGCAAAAGAAAAAGCACTCAAACAGAAAGAGAGAGAGTCCCATCACCAAAGACTCCACCCACCAGAATAGCTAGGGAGAACTTGAATCCTCCCCTCTTACCTGATAGGGGGTGTGTGGTTTTGGCTGGGAAGGGATTGGCTGGAGATGAGGAACCACAGGTGGACTCAGCTAGGGGTCCTGTCACTATGACTGGGCTGGTGTTTGGGTAGAGTAGCGCTGCTTTCAGTGGAGCGATGGAGTTAAACTGGACCACCGACAGACAGCCACTGAAACCCAGGGAGTTCAGCCTGGCAATCTCTGGATCCAGCTCACCAGACTCTAAACACACAAACGCATACACACGCACACAAAAATGCAGAAACAGTCAGTGAGATCCAGTATAGTGATCAGTCAAAAGTAGTAGATTCACTGCTCTCTCAGTGTGATATTGATTGATTATCTAATTCATCGACTGCTAACAATAGCTGCTACTCCTCCTAGGGACATCCTCCCCCCACCCCCCCAGCTGACTTTTTCTTTGCCAACGACATTCATCACTGTTGCAGTTGTTAATATGTATATTATAGATTTTGTTATAATAATATGTATTGTTTTTCTTTCACTTGGTCCCCACACTCCCTCAATGGTCATGCTGCTCCCCCTATGGTCACTCTCCCCCACCCCCTCAACAGTCTTTACTCTGCCTCCACCCCAATGGACATTTATTTATTCATCACTGCTACAGTTGTTATGATATACAGTGGGGAGAAAAGTATTTGATACACTGCCGATTTTGCAGGTTTTCCTACTTACAAAGCATGTAGAGGTCTGTAATTTTTATCATTGGTACACTTCAACTGTGAGAGACACAGATCCAGAAAATCACATTGTATGATTTTTAAGTAATTAATTTGCATTTTATTGCATGACATAAGTATTTGATACATCAGAAAAGCAGAACTTAATATTTGGTACAGAAACCTTTGTTTGCAATTACAGAGATCATACATTTCCTGTAGGTCTTGACCAGGTTTGCACACACTGCAGCAGGGATTTTGGCCCACTCCTCCATACAGACCTTCTCCAGATCCTTCAGGTTTCGGGGCTGTCGCTGGGTAATACGGACTTTCAGCTCCCTCCAAAGATTTTCTATTGGGTTCAGGTCTGGAGACTGGCTAGGCCACTCCAGGACCTTGAGATGCTTCTTACGGAGCCACTCCTTAGTTGCCATGGCTGTGTGTTTCAGGTCGTTGTCATGCTGGAAGACCCAGCCACGACCCATCTTCAATGCTCTTACTGACGGAAGGAGGCTGTTGGCCAAGATCTCGCGATACATGGCCCCATCCATCCTCCTCTCAATACGGTGCAGTCGTCCTGTCCCCTTTGCAGAAAAGAATCCCCAAAGAATGATGTTTCCACCTTCACGGTTGGGATGGTGTTCTTGGGGTTGTACTCATCCTTCTTCTTCCTCCAAACACGGCGAGTGGAGTTTAGACCAAAAAGCTCTATTTTTGTCTCATCAGACCACATGACCTTCTCCCATTCCTCCTCTGGATCATCCAGATGGTCATTGGCAAACTTCAGATGGGCCTGGACATGCGCTGGCTTCAGCAGAGGGACCTTGCCTGCGCTGCAGGATTTTAATCCATGACGGCGTAGTGTGTTACTAATGGTTTTCTTTGAGACTGTGGTCCCAGCTCTCTTCAGGTCATTGACCAGGTCCTGCCGTGTAGTTCTGGGCTGATCCCTCACCTTCCTCATGATCATTGATGCCCCACGAGGTGAGATCTTGCATGGAGCCCCAGACCAAGGGTGATTGACTGTCATCTTGAACTTCTTCCATTTTCTAATAATTGTGCCAACAGTTGTTGCCTTCTCACCAAGCTGCTTGCCTATTGGCCTGTAGCCCATCCCAGCCTTGTGCAGGTCTACGATTTTATCCCTGATGTCCTTACACAGCTCTCTGGTCTTGGCCATTGTGGAGAGGTTGGAGTCTGTTTGATTGAGTGTGTGGACAGGTGTCTTTTATACAGGTAACGAGTTCAAACAGGTGCAGTTAATACAGGTAATGAGTGGAGAACAGGAGGGCTTCTTAAAGAAAAACTAACAGGTCTGTGAGAGCCGGAATTCTTACTGGTTGGTAGGTGATCAAATACTTATGTCATGCAATAAAATGCAAATTAATTACTTAAAAATCATACAATGTGATTTTCTGGATTTTTGTTTTAGATTCCGTCTCTCACGGTTGAAGTGTACCTATGATAAAAGGTACAGACCTCTACATGCTTTGTAAGTAGGAAAACAGGCAAAATCGGCAGTGTATCAAATACTTGTTCTCCCCACTATATATAGTGCTATTTCTATTGTTGTTTTTATTACCATTTTCATTATTTTGTTTTCTCTAGTCCTGCATGTTGGAGCTCGGAGCCTAAGACTTCACCCTGCAATCACACCTGCAACCCTGTACATGTGACTATTAAACACTCTGAATCTGAATCTAGACTTATAATATAATGAGATAATGAGAGACCCCAGAAATACTGCTTCCATTTGACTAGCTTGGATCCAGTGAAACCCTATGTTTGCCAGGGAAACTGGGTCACTGGCTCTTCAAAATGACCAATGACTATTAATTTAATTATGGGAATTTGCATGGTTATAAGTGCTCTTAAAATGAATGGGATGGAAGGCAGTGAGCTGATGGCATTGTACTGCATCACATTGTATCACACTGCTACTGTATCCTGAAGGTAACCTTCTTTCTTACAACTGCCAGATAGCTATTTCTCCTCAGTCACACCTCATCCACATACTCTCCTCTTTCTCTCTCCTACTCACTCTCTCTCTCCTACTCTCTCTCCCTTTAGCCCCTCTCTCACTCTCTTAGTCTCTCTGTGACTCTCCCTGTCTCTCTTCTACTTCTCTCTCTCTCTCTCGCTCCCCTCTGCATTCATTACAGGTCAATTTGTTAGCGTGATTGATGACAGGTGTTGCTGGGAATGACACCAAATCCACTTTCATGCCAGCTCTTTGATCCTGATATGACACACAGACAGCAGCAGGGTGGAGGGGTTAGAGAAGAGCGAGTACCTGGTCACGTGTTAACATGGCTCAGGTCATCTGAGATACACTACACTACCACAGAGCTCTGTCTGTCTGTGTGTGTGTCAAATCAAATCAAATTGTATTTGTCACATGCGCTGAATACAACAGGTGAATACAACCTTACCGTGAAATGCTTACTTACAAGCCCTTAACCAACAATGCAGTTTTAAGAAAAAAAAGAGTTAAGAAAATATTTACTAAATAAACTAAAGTTAAAAAACGTAACACAATAAAATAACAATAATGAGGCTATATACAGGGGGTACCGATAACGAGTCAATGTGCGGGGTACAGGTTAGTCGAGGTAAATTAGGTAATATGTACAGTGGGAAAAAAAAGTATTTAGTCAGCCACCAATTGTGCAAGTTCTCCCACTTAAAAAGATGAGAGAGGCCTGTAATTTTCATCATAGGTACACGTCTACTATGACAGACAAATTGAGAAAAAAAAATCCAGAAAATCACATTGTAGGATTTTTAATGAATTTATTTGCAAATTATGGTGGAAAATAAGTATTTGGTCACCTACAAACAAGCAAGATTTCTGGCTCTCACAGACCTGTAACTTCTTCTTTAAGAGGCTCCTCTGTCCTCCACTCGTTACCTGTATTAATGGCACCTGTTTGAACTTGTTATCAGTATAAAAGACACCTGTCCACAACCTCAAACAGTCACACTCCAAACTCCACTATGGCCAAGACCAAAGAGCTGTCAAAGGACACCAGAAACAAAATTGTAGACCTGCACCAGGCTGGGAAGACTGAATCTGCAATAGGTAAGCAGCTTGGTTTGAAGAAATCAACTGTGGGAGCAATTATTAGGAAATGGAAGACACTGATAATCTCCCTCGATCTGGGGCTCCACGCAAGATCTCACCCTGTGGGGTCAAAATGATCACAAGAACGGTGAGCAAAAATCCCAGAACCACACGGGGGGACCTAGTGAATGACCTGCAGAGAGCTGGGACCAAAGTAACAAAGCCTACCATCAGTAACACACTACGCCGCCAGGGACTCAAATCCTACAGTGCCAGACGTGTCCCCCTGCTTAAGCCAGTACATGTCCAGGCCCGTCTGAAGTTTGCTAGAGTGCATTTGGATGATCCAGAAGAGGATTGGGAGAATGTCATATGGTCAGATGAAACCAAAATAGAACTTTTTGGTAAAAACTCAACTCGTCGTGTTTGGAGGACAAAGAATGCTGAGTTGCATCCAAAGAACACCATACCTACTGTGAAGCATGGGGGTGGAAACATCATGCTTTGGGGCTGTTTTTCTGCAAAGGGACCAGGACGACTGATCCGTGTAAAGGAAAGAATGAATGGGGCCATGTATCGTGAGATTTTGAGTGAAAACCTCCTTCCATCAGCAAGGGCATTGAAGATGAAACGTGGCTGGGTCTTTCAGCATGACAATGATCCCAAACACACCGCCCGAGCAAACGAAGGAGATGCTTTGTAAGAAGCATTTCAAGGTCCTGGAGTGGCCTAGTCAGTCTCCAGATCTCAACCCCATAGAAAATCTTTGGAGGGAGTTGAAAGTCCGTGTTGCCCAGCGACAGCCCCAAAACATCACTGCTCTAGAGGAGATCTGCATGGAGGAATGGGCCAAAATACCAGCAACAGTGTGTGAAAACCTTGAAGACTTACAGAAAACGTTTGACCTGTGTCATTGCCAACAAAGGGTATATAACAAAGTATTGAGAAACTTTTGTTATTGACCAAATACTTATTTTCCACCATAATTTGCAAATAAATTCATAAGAAATCCTACAATGTGATTTTCTGGATTTTTTTCTCATTTTGTCTGTCATAGTTGACGTGTACTTATGATAAAAATTACAGGCCTCTCTCATCTATTTAAGTGGGAGAACTTGCACAATTGTTGGCTGACTAAATACTTTTTTTCCCCACTGTACATGTAGGTAGGGGTAAAGTGAACTATGCATAGATAATAAACAAAGAGTAACAGCAGCGCAAAAAAAGGGGGGGGGGTCAATGCAAATGGTCCGGGTAGCCATTTGATTAACTGTTCAGTAGTCTTATGGACTTAGGGGTAGAAGCTGTTAAGGAGCCTTTTGGACCTAGACTTGGCGCTCTGGTACCGCTTGCCATGAGGTAGCAGAGAGAACAGTCTATGACTAGGGTGGCTGGATTCTTTTACCATTTTTAGGGCCTTCCTCTGACACCGCCTGGTATAGAGGTCCTGGATGGCAGGAAGCTTGGCCCCAGTGATGTGATGGGCTGTACGCACTACCCTCTGTAGCGCCTTGCGGTCGGATGCCGAGCAGTTGCCATACTAGGCGGTGATACAACCAGTCAGGATGCTCTCGATGGTGCAGCTGTATAACTATTTGAGGATCTGAGCACCCATGCCAAATCTTTCAGTCTCCTGACGGTGAATAGGTATTGTCGTGCCCTCTTCACAACTGTCTTAGTGTGCTTGGACCATGATAGTTTGTTGGTGATGTGGACACCAAGGAACTTGAAGCTCTCGACCTGCTCCACTACAGCCGCATCGATGTGAATGGGGGCGTGCTCGGCCCTCCCTTTCCTCTAGTCCATGATCATCTCCTTTGTCTTGACCACGTTGAGGGAGATGTTGTTGTCCTGGAACCACACTGCCAGGTCTCTGACATCCTCCTTATAGGCTGTCTCATCGTTGTCGGTGATCAGGCCTACCACTGTTGTGTCGTCGGCAAATTGAATGATGGTGTTGGAGTCGTGCTTGGCCACGCAGTCGTGGGTGAACAGGGAGTACAGGAGAAAGCATACACCCCTGAGGGGCCCCCGTGTTGAGGATCAGCATGGCAGATGTGTTGTTGCCTGCCCTTACCACCTGGGGGCGGCCCGTCAGGAAGTACAGGATCCAGTTGCAGAGGGAGGTGTTTATTTACAGGGTCCTTTGCTTAGTGATGAGCTTTGAAGGCACTAAGGTGTTGAACGCTGAGCTGTGTGTGTGTGTCCCACATGACCAGAGAGCAGACCCCTTAGCCCCACATGTCATTATAGCCCACAGCTATACTGGATTATTCTGATTTTAGACTAATGGAGCTTCTTGAAAGGTCATGAAAAAGTTAATAGCAATGTCACAGTAGCTACTGTATGACTTTGTTATAGTGACATTCTTGACATTGTCACAGATTAATAGAAATGGTTTGCATCTAACATGGGTAGGGCATTGATATACTGTAGGTTGGCCTAGTATGGGAGCATTATTCATCTTGTTTTGTTTGTTATAGTGTATCAGAATGCACTAGACTGTAACTGCTGTATGTTATGCGTCTGTTCCTTTCAATCATTCCTCATTACTATTGAAAGCAGACGTCCTATTTTAAAGCAAATACATTGGCATTAGACCTGCATAAAGTGCCCTATTTCTGAAGCGGGGGATAGAAAATAACAATGCATAAAGCCAATATTTTTCAGACTTTAAGTAAACAGACATGCACCGATGATAACATGTCATGTCGAACTGCGATTGCCTGACTGAACAAACAATACTGTAATGGATGTGCATTTGCCCCAGCAGTTTATCATCCTCCTATATAGCACTAAAATGCACATAATAATAAATAATGATTCCATCTCTATTTGAGCTAAAGTAGCTATTTGTCCAAATTTGAATAATATTTTCATTTGATGTAAAAGCTTCAGGTAAGTGGGATCGTAACTAGCTCTCCAGTTCTGTGATTGAGAGACACGGCCAAACATCTCTTAGCATTCTTTATTCAATGGCTTTCTCCTTCATCATTTTAATAATGCTGTTTTACAGATGAAGGATCTTAATTTGAGCCAGTTTGCTACAGCAGAAAAATAATCCTGCAGCAACAGGAAATGTTAATTATTATGTGGATTATAATTAATGGACATTTTTTGTAGGGGTTGATATGTTTTTCATTCAGTCTGACATTTTAAAGTGGAAATTACAAACTTTAGAAGCCTTTTAAAACTTCAAATACACTACAAGTTTGCATTTCCTGCTGTGCAGGAAAATTCTCAGCAACAGAAGAGTGATCAAATTAAGATCCTACATCTGTATATTACTCACCTTGCACTTTCCCCAGGACAACTGACTTGATAGTGTTGAATTCTGCATCAGATGTGAGATTGAAGTCTTCCCTTCCGTGCTGGTCAATCTGAAAAAATAAGGGTGAAATAGGACCTGTAAACACTTTGTTGAATACTCAAGTTGGGGACTAAATAAATACAATTTACACATTCATGTTTCAGATTATGGAAAATGTACTCTTCCATTTAGAGTGTTTTAATTAAACCCTGCTCTTCAAAGTACTTTAAACACATCATTGCTTGGCTGTTCAGTCTGCCATTGAATTAAAAAAGGAAAGTAGTGCTAGAGCTTGGACAGATTTTGTTGAAAATGTGATTACTACTCAAAGCTTACGCTAATTTATGCAGTTTTGCTGAGATTGCCAAACAGTAGCTTAACAAAATTGATTTTTTGTTGACTAGTCAGACTAGAACATGTTGTTGGGTGGTCGGAAGCATGGAAGTAAACACTCATGAGTGTTGTCCACTATGAGATTAGTATGGAAGTGTAGTGCATTACAATATTCCAACATATTGGACTCGCACTTCTTTCATTACGAGGTTTATAAGTATATTCTGCCAGTCTCCTTACAGATTTCAACATTGATTTCTCTATACTCTTATCAGCTATCCTTTTCTTCTTAATTTCTCCTTCGCAGTCATTAATGTTGCCTGAAATGTCTTTAAATTTTGAATGAGTTTGCCTGCTTAATGGCTGATATTTGGAATGTGTCTGTACATTCTGAATAAGTAGAGCTCTGCAGCACAGCCTAGGGTTGTCGCCTACTGTGAGGTTGGCAAAGGACTTGGACCATGCAAAACCAGCATCACTCTTCAACCACTATACTGTATCACATCTCACTGTATATTTAAATCTGTTGGGAGTGATGTTATTTTTATTTTTAATTACCTTTACTCACCACGACACAGATCCCACACTGCTAACATGTATACACTTACAATTACAGCTCAGCAGGTTAGATAGAGTACATACAGTGGGGAGAACAAGTATTTGATACATCAGAAAAGCAGAACTTAATATTTGGAACAGAAACCTTTGTTTGCAATTACAGAGATCATATGTTTCCTGTAGGTCTTGACCAGGTTTGCACACACTGCAGCAGGGATTTTGGCCCACTCCTCCATAAAGACCTTCTCCAGATCCTTCAGGTTTCGGGGCTGTCGCTGGGCAATACGGACTTTGAGCTCCCTCCAAAGATTTTCTATTGGGTTCAGGTCTGGAGACTGGCTAGGCCACTCCAGGACCTTGAGATGCTTCTTACGGGGCCACTCCTTAGTTGCCCTGGCTGTGTGTTTCGGGTCGTTGTCATGCTGGAAGACCCAGCCACGACCCATCTTCAATGCTCTTACTGAGGGAAGGAGGTTGTTGGCCAAGATCTCGAGATACATGGCCCCATCCATCCTCCCCTCAATACGGTGCAGTCGTCCTGTCCCCTTTGCAGAAAAGCATTTCCAAAAAATTATGTTTCCACCTCCATGCTTCACGGTTGGGATGGTGTTCTTGGGGTTGTACTCATCCTTCTTCTTCCTCCAAACACGGCGAGTAGAGTTTTGACCAAAAAGCTCTATTTTTGTCTCATCAGACCACATGACCTTCTCCCATTCCTCCTCTGGATCATCCAGATGGTCATTGGCAAACTTCAGATGGGCCTGGACATGCGCTGGCTTGAGCAGGGGGACCTTGCATGCGCTGCAGGATTTTAATCCATGACGGCGTAGTGTGTTACTAATGGTTTTCTTTGAGACTGTGGTCCCAGCTCTCTTCAGGTCATTGACCAGGTCCTGCCGTGTAGTTCTGGGCTGATCCCTCACCTTCCTCATGATCATTGATGCCCCACGAGGTGAGATCTTGCATGGAGCCCCAGACCGAGGGTGATTGACCGTCATCTTGAACTTCTTCCATTTTCTAATAATTGCGCCAACAGTTGTTGCCTTCTCACCAAGCTGCTTGCCTATTGTCCTGTAGCCCATCCCAGCCTTGTGCAGGTCTACAATTTTATCCCTGATGTCCTTACACAGCTCTCTAGTCTTGGCCATTGTGGAGAGGTTGGAGTCTGTTTGATTGAGTGTGTGGACAGGTGTCTTTTATACAGGTAACGAGTTCAAACAGGTGCAGTTAATACAGGTAATGAGTGGAGAACAGGAGGGCTTCTTAAAGAAAAACTAACAGGTCTGTGAGAGCCGGAATTCTTAATGGTTGGTAGGTGATCAAATACTTATGTCATGCAATAAAATGCAAATTATTTACTTAAAAATCATACAATGTGATTTTCTGGATTTTTGTTTTAGATTCCGTCTCTCACGGTTGAAGTGTACCTATGATAAAAGGTACAGACCTCTACATGCTTTGTAAGTAGGAAAACAGGCAAAATCGGCAGTGTATCAAATACTTGTTCTCCCCACTGTATAGGCCTACTTCTCTTTACCTGCCTCTTGCTGACTTTCAATAAGGCAGTGGTTCTGAATCTTTTTAGGTTATGCTACACTCAATTACATTTTGCTCTGCTTGCATTACCTCCTTATGTGCAACCAATCATTAGGACTATGTTCTTACGAATCTTCACAAGTACCCCTTGTGGATGGGTACTAGTACCCCAGGAGAGAACCACTGCACTAAGGTAACTGCTGAGCATGTCTTTATTTTGAATGAGAATAAGTAGCCTTCACAGTGACAAAATAAGTTACCTAAACAGTGACAAAATAAGTTACCTGAACACTGACAGTCTCTGATATCCTCCTGATGGAGACTCTGTGAAGTTGTCCGTTGGCCAAGTTCCTAATGCTGGTCCTGATCACCTCAGCATCTCTACTGTTCTGCAGCTTGTATTTAACATCCAGGTAACCTTCAGGAGATATTGAGACAAAACTTTAATATACAGTAACTTCTATTTAATGTCCAGGTAACCTTCAGGAGATATAGAGACATAACATGGGCGGCAGGTAGCTTAGTGGTTAAGAGCGTTGTGCCAGTAACCAAAAGGTCGCTGGTTCTAATCCCCGAGCTGACTAGGTGAAAAGCAAGGCACTTAACCCTAATTGCTCCTGTAAGTCGCTCTGGATAAGAGTGTCTGCTAAATGACAAAAAAAAAGATATACATATATATGACATTAATAATTTCAATTTAACATCCTTCGAGAGATACATGACATATGAAGACATAACCTTAATATTACTTCTATATAACATCCAGGTAACTTTCAAAAGATACACAGTGCCTTGCAAAAGTATTCATCGCCCCTTGGCATTTTTCCTATTTTGTTGCATTACAACCTGTAATTTAAATGGATTTTTATTTGGAGTTCTTGTAATGGACATACACAAAATAGTCAAAATTGGTGAAGTGAAATGAAAAAAAGAACTGCATATGTATTCACCCCCTTTGCTATGAAGCCCCTAAATAAGATCTGGTGCAACCAATTACCTTCAGAAGTCACATAATTAGTTAAATAAAGTCCACCTGTGTGCAATCAAAGTGTCACATGATCTGTCTCATGATCTCAGTATATATACACCTGTTCTGAAAGGCCCCAGAATCTGCAACACCACTAAGCAAGGGGCACCACCAAGCAAGCGGCACCATGAAGACCAAGGAGCTCTCCAAACAGGTCAGGGACAAAGTTGTGGAGAAGTACAGATCAGGGTTGGGTTATAAAAAAATATCAGAAACTTTGAACATCCCACGGAGCACCATTAAATTCATTATTAAAAAATGGAAAGAATATGGCACCACAACAAACCTGCCAAGAGAGGGCCGCCCACCAAAACTCACAGACCAGGAAAAAAGGGCATTAATCAGAGAGACAACAAAGAGACCAAAGATAACCCTGAAGGAGCTGCAAAGCTCCACAGCGGAGATTGGAGTATCTGTCCATAGGACCTCTTTAAGCCGTACACTCCACAGAGCTGGGCTTTACAGAATAGTGGCCAGAAAAAAGCCATTTCTTAAAGAAAGAAACAAACAAACATGTTTGGTGTTCACCAAAAGTCATGTGGGAGACTCCCCAAACATATGGAAGAAGGTACCGTGGTCAGATGAGACTAAAATTGAGCTTTTTGGCCCCATCAAGGAAAACGCTATGTCTGGCGCAAACCCAACACCTCACATCACCCCGAGAACACCATCCCCACAGTGAAGCATGGTGGTGGCAGCATCATGCTGTGGGGATGTTTTTCATCGGCAGGGACTGGGAAACTGGTCAGAATTGAATGAATGATGGATGGCGCTAAATACAGGGACATTTTTTAGGGAAACCTGTTTCAGTCTTCAAGAGATTTGAGACTGGGACAGAGGTTCACTTTCCAGCAGGACAATGACCCTAAGGATACTGCTAAAGCAACACTCGAGTGGTTTAAGGGGAAACATTTAAATGTCTTTGAATGGCCTAGTCAAAGCCCAGACCTCAATCCAATTGAGAATCTGTAGTATGACTTAAAGATTGCTGTACACCAGCGGAACCCATCCAACTTGAAGGAGCTGGAGCAGTTCTGCCTTGAAGAATGGGCAAAAATCCCAGGGGCTAGATATGCCAAGCTTATAGATGCATACCCCAAGAGACTTGCAGCTGTAATTGCTGCAAAAGGTGGCTCTACAAAGTATTGACTTTGGGGGGGGGGGGGGCGGGGTGAATAGTTATGCACGCTCAAGTTTTCCTGTGAGGGAAAAAAGTATTTGATCCCCTGCTGATTTTGTACGTTTGCCCATTGACAAAGAAATAATCAGTCTATAATTTTAATGGTAGGTTTATTTGAACAGTGAGAGACAGAATAACAACAAAGAAATCCAGAAAAACGCATGTCAAAAATGTTATAAATTGATTTGCATTTTAATGAGGGAAATATGTATTTGACCACCTCTCAATCAGAAATATTTCTGGCTCCCAGTTGTCTTTTATACAGGTAACGAGCTGAGATTAGGAGCACACTCTTAAAGGGAGTGCTCCTAATCTCAGCTTGTTACCTGTATAAAAGACACCTGTCCACAGAAGCAATCAATCAATCAGATTCCAAACTCTCCACCATGGCCAAGACCAAAGAGCTCTCCAAGGATGTCAGGGACAAGATTGTAGACCTACACAAGGCTGGAATGGGCTACAAGACCATCGCCAAGCAGCTTGGTGAGAAGATGACAACAGTTGGTGCGATTATTCGCAAATGGAAGAAACACAAAATAACTATCAATCTCCCTCGGCCTGGGGCTCCATGCAAGATCTCACCTCGTGGAGTTGCAATGATCATGAGAACGGTGAGGAATCAGCCCAGAACTACACGGGAGGATATTGTCAATTATCTCAAGGCAGCTGTGACCATATTCACCAAGAAAACAATTGGTAACACACTACGCCGTGAAGGACTGAAATCCTGCAGCGCACGCAAGGTCCCCCTGCTCATGAAAGCACATATACAGGGCCGTCCGAAGATTGCCAATGAACATCTGAATGATTCAGAGGAGAAATGGGTGAAAGTGTTGTGGTCAGATGAGACCAAAATTGAGCTTTTTGGCATCAACTCAACTCGCCGTGTTTGGAGGAGGAGGAATGCTGCCTATGACCCCAAGAACACCATCCCCACCGTCAAACATGGAGGTGGAAACATTATGCTTTGGGGGTGTTTTTCTGCTATGGGGACAGGACAACTTCACCACATCAAAGGGACGATGGATGGGGCCATGTACTGTCAAATCTTGGGTAAGAACCTCCTTCCCTCAGCCAGGGCATTGAAAATGGGTCGTGGATGGGTATTCCAACATGACAATGACCCAAAACACACGGCCAAGGCAACAAAGGAGTGGCTCAAGAAGAAGCACATTAAGGTCCAGGAGTAGCCTAGCCAGTCTCCATACCTTAATCCCATAGAAAATCTGTGGAGGGAGCTGAAGGTTCGAGTTGCCAAACGTCAGCCTCGAAACCTTAAAGACTTGGAGAAGATCTGCAAAGAGGAGTGGAACAAAATTCCTCCTGAGATGTGTGCAAACCTGGTGGCCAACTACAAGAATCGTCTGACCTCTGTGATTGCCAACAAGGGTTTTGCCACCAAGTACTAAGTCATGTTTTGCAGAGGGGTCAAATACTTATTTCCCCCATTAAAATGCAAATAAATTTATAACATTTTTTACATGCGTTTTTCTGATTTTTTGTTGTTGTTATTCTGTCTCTCACTGTTCAAATAAACCTAACATTAAAATTATAGGTCAGTGGGCAAATGTACAAAATCAGCAGGGTATCAAATACTTTTTTCCCTCACTGTAATTCCATATGTGTTATTTCATAGTTTTGATGTCTTCACTATTATTCTACAATGTAAAAATAAAGAAAAACCCTTGAATGAGTAGGTATGTCCAAACTTTTGACTATCTGACATGGTACAGGTGTTTTCTTTTTTTTAAGCCCATAACCATGTGTGTGAGATGTATACTTTTGTTTCAAAGTAGATTTGTTTTGAGACTACTAAGAAACAATTTTTGTGACCCTGATTTAGCCCACAGCAGTAAATGGTTAAATGCAAACAGTGATAGACATGTAACAATATCACTATCATTAAAATGCAGACAGCCACTGAACAATATCGCTAACATGTGTGCAGCATTCACGATGTACCCTGCAAATTGTTGTTTACAGCATTTCAAGGAAAATTCCTCAATGTTGAAGGCTACAGTGACTAATTTCATAACATAAGCCTACAAGGCATTCAGCTACTAAGCGGATTAATCTCTAGTTCCCTATCAATAACAGCAATATTAAATCAACTTCATTTTAGTAATTTGCAAGGAATTAAGTATCCGAGGGGCTCTGAGTAATGCACGGTTGTGTTAGCGTTGTCAGTCAGCTCAGAAAAAAAACATTCAAATGAATGGGGAGATTGGAAATGTATTGCATCTCTTTTAAAAAAACACTCTCATTGATGCTGCTGCACACAAATAATCACTTCATGCAAAGGTGGAATTTTAAACTTTAAGCAGACTATCTATTTGTTATTTGAAATATTTTTTCTTTTACACACATCTAGTAGAAAAAAACAAATTATTTGTAAGGGCTAGAACAGACATTAAATGATTTGCACAATAGGACAAATGAAACAATTCTATTAAATAAGTGTGGAGGGCCCATTCTTTGATTCAAGCAGAGGGCCAAGCGTTACTGCTTTGTATTCAGAGATGTTTTTACATTTACTATATTGAATACAATTACTAATATTAAAGCGGCAATCAGCAGTAGAAACAATGGTGTTTTACCTGCCCCTGTTTCGGTAAAAAGCTGAAGGATGAGGCTGGAGAAATGTAACCACTCAGATTCATAGACAGAGCTATGGATGCAAGGACTGACCATCCATGATATCAAAATTGTAGTTGTAACCATGTTTTGAGGCTATTGAGGTTTGTTCACATTTAATTTGTTTACAAACATTAAAGTAAAACTAGCTTATATTTTGGGTTCTGATGGGGTGCGACAGTTGAACTAAGCTCATGAGGCATTTATAAATTATATTCTTCAAGAATAAATGGGTACATATCGTTAATTTACAAGTCCAAACTTGAATATAGCAACTGCTGATTGCCCCTTTAAGAAAGATTTTGCACTACTTTTGCACTATCCTCTCACTGTTACTGAGAGGTCTTGCTTGTGCTCTCCTAGAAAGACAGACAATGCCGAAAAATGTAATGTGCATGAATTGAGAGGCAGTAGTGTCTGACAGGCCTGCTGTCTATGGGGACTTGGAGACTCAAATTAATCCAAATGAATTCTGATAAAGCTGCTTTCTAACAATGCTCTCTCTCTCTCTCTTACAGTTGTTGTTAATAACTTTTCTAGATGTAGTAATATTACATAACTAAATGAAAATAGATGTACACCTTTACGGTACTTGATATGTACATCATTTTTCTGCATGTTAAAGACCCTACAAGCTGATATAGAGCTCTAATGACCCTGTACAGTAATGTTAAATAAAGGTGTGTTACTTTTACATTTCACATCATTGAACTTATTAAAACGGCAGAAAATATATCTTTATTTTATTTATTTTTATCTCTCTGCCTCTTACCATTCCTGTTGAGCAGCACAGCCAGGTACTCTCTGTAGTAGGAGCTGACGTAGAGCAGTAACGCAGGGCTCTGTGTGGTTCTAAAGCTAAACGAGACATTCTCTCCTCGAGGCGTCAGATCAGAGTAGATGGAGGAGGACTGGGACTGGGTGCTGGTGTTTCTAGTCAGCTCGTACGGCTCCTTGAATGTGTACTGGACCGATGTCCCGGGTTTGAAGTAAGCGGAGACCTCTGGAGGTTGGGAAAGCAGAATAGAGGAGTTGGTGGTTATTTTTTGGGTTGAATTGAATAGGCCAATAGTTCCACATTGTGTTAGAACAGTTATTCACTTTGTTATACATCTGTTAACGTTCTGTAAACTCAATTAACAACTTTAAAACTTTAATTTATATAACAACCTACACCTTTGTTCATATTTGCAATTTCATTCTAACAGACATACTGTAAATAAAACCATACAATCACCTTGTTACTTACAGAACAATACTCTCTTTAACGGCACCATGGCGCTTGCCCGCTAATGTTCTAACCAGGAAGTGGTCCAAGTAATTCTTATTAATTATTGAAAATGTACAATCGGCCTGCCTGCATCACACAGTTGACCTGCTGATGGCGATGACTCAGAAACACATAGCTTTCACCATAGATATGGAGATGATTTAGAATCTAACAACAGTTCTAACAGTAGTCTTATATTGTAATACAGTATGTCCTCTGTGTTTTTGTTGAGTGCACAAACATTAGCTCCACCAGCTGGTCTCAAATCATCCCCATCCTCCCCCTAACCGTTTTTAGATGTATGTACAGTGGGGAAAAAAAGTATTTAGTCAGCCACCAATTGTGCAAGTTCTCCCACTTAAAAAGATGAGAGAGGCCTGTAATTTTCATCATAGGTACACGTCAACTATGACAGACAAAATGAGGAAAAAAAATCCAGAAAATCACATTGTAGGATTTTTTATGAATTTATTTGCAAATTATGGTGGAAAATAAGTATTTGGTCAATAACAAAAGTTTCTCAATACTTTGTTATATACCCTTTGTTGGCAATGACACAGGTCAAACGTTTTCTGTAAGTCTTCACAAGGTTTTCACACACTGTTGCTGGTATTTTGGCCCATTCCTCCATGCAAATCTCCTCTAGAGCAGTGATGTTTTGGGGCTGTCGCTGGGCAACACAGACTTTCAACTCCCTCCAAAGATTTTCTATGGGGTTGAGATCTGGAGACTGGCTAGGCCACTCCAGGATCTTGAAATGCTTCTTACGAAGCCACTCCTTCGTTGCCCGGGCGGTGTGTTTGGGATCATTGTCATGCTGAAAGACCCAGCCACGTTTCATCTTCAATGCCCTTGCTGATGGAAGGAGGTTTTCACTCAAAATCTCACGATACATGGCCCCATTCATTCTTTCCTTTACACGGATCAGTCGTCCTGGTCCCTTTGCAGAAGGACAGCCCCAAAGCATGATGTTTCCACCCCCATGCTTCACAGTAGGTATGGTGTTCTTTGGATGCAACTCAGCATTCTTTGTCCTCCAAACACGACGAGTTGAGTTTTTACCAAAAGGTTCTATTTTGGTTTCATCTGACCATATGACATTCTCCCAATCCTCTTCTGGATCATCCAAATGCACTCTAGCAAACTTCAGACGGGCCTGGACATGTACTGGCTTAAGCAGGGGGACATGTCTGGCACTGCAGGATTTGAGTCCCTGGCGGCGTAGTGTGTTACTGATGGTAGGCTTTGTTACTTTGGTCCCAGCTCTCTGCAGGTCATTCACTAGGTCCCCACGTGTGGTTCTGGGATTTTTGCTCACCGTTCTTGTGATCATTTTGACCCCACGGGGTGAGATCTTGCGTGGAGCCCCAGATTGAGGGAGATTATCAGTGGTCTTGTATGTCTTCCATTTCCTAATAATTGCTCCCACAGTTGATTTCGTCAAACCAAGCAGCTTACCTATTGCAGATTCAGTCTTCCTAGCCTGGTGCAGGTCTACAATTTTGTTTCTGGTGTCCTTTGACAGCTCTTTGGTCTTGGCCATAGTGGAGTTTGGAGTGTGACTGTTTGAGGTTGTTGACAGGTGTCTTTTATACTGATAACAAGTTCAAACCGGTGCCATTAATACAGGTAACGAGTGGAGGACAGAGGAGCCTCTTAAAGAAGAAGTTACAGGTCTGTGAGAGCCAGAAATCTTGCTTGTTTGTAGGTGACCAGATACTTATTTTCCACCATAATTTGCAAATAAATTCATTAAAAATCCTACAATGTGATTTTCTGGATTTTTTTTCTTCTCAATTTGTCTGTCATAGTTGACGTGTACCTATGATGAAAATTACAGGCCTCTCGCATCTTTTTAAGTGGGAGAACTTGCACAATTGGTGGCTGACTAAATACTTTTTTTCCCCACTGTAGCTAGATCTAAAGGGTCAGGGATAGGTACTGTATCCTCAATAAAGTGGTGAAGCTTCCTCCACATTGCTTCCACCTTATCTACAAACATCGAAAGGGTTAGGGCCAAATAATAGGATTATGGAGTGAATTGGGACCGACTGACATCCTCTCACATGGCTAATCTCCCAGAGGCAGGTGAGTTGATCAACAGAACCTCAGAGCTCAGAGGCTGAGGTCGAGGTGATGCTCATGGTCTATTTACCTCTCTGGCAGAAGGGGCCTGCGTAGGCGGAGAGGCCACAGTCGCAGGAGAAGCCATTGTACCTCTCCACACACCTCGCCTGGTTCTGGCACAGCTGCCTGTAGCTGCTGCAGTGTCCCGGGCAGCCCGGCCTCACCCCAGGTGTGATCTTAGCCCTCTCCTCCAGGTCCAGAGTCCTCCCGTTCAGCTGCAGCGAGCGGATACACCCCAGGAAACCTTTCATTCTGGAAGCAGTGCCACCTGCCAACACACAACGCAGAGCACACAGTCAAAATGCATTGTTCCTGTTTTTTTATCTGTTCTTTTATTTTCTTCTGTGTGACGGGGCACGCATGGCACGTATGGCTACAGTACCAGAGTTATTTGACACGTCACCCGCCCGCCGCTCCCAGGAGCATAACTTTGTCATTTAAAAGACGACAGGGCTATCAAAACAAAGTTGTGGGTGGAAAACGCATTTAGGGACTTGAATTTGATCAGCTGTCTGTCTGCTGCCACTGCTCTGGCTGCTAACCTCCCTCTCCTTCTCTTCTCTCTCTTCTTTCTGGCATCCCCCCATACTTCAGAGCTGGCAGCTCAGATTGTTCTTGGAGTTCATGAAAGACTTTTCACAACAAAGAATCAATGAGCCTCTCCCCCTGCAAGGCAAGGCACTCTGGCTCTCTGTCTGCGGGTTCAATTGCCATTCTGATTCAAACTGAAAACCGGTTAAAAAAAAAGAAGAAAAGCAGCACTACAATGTTAAAGCATTTTCTTTGGTAGGCTGTGTCAACCCTTTGGTCAAACGTAATGTTAAAATATTTTGGGGGGTAACTTTTCAAAATAATGTAAACCTTTTTTGAAGCAAAGCAGCACTACAATGTATTTCTTAGATACTGTATGTCAAGTTCTTGGTCAAATGGAATGTAAAAAAGATTTCCTTCTATAAACTGTTGAATAAAATGTATTTTTTAAAGCAAAGTTACACTACACTGTTAAAGCGTTTCCTAGGTAGGTGTCAAATCAAATGTTATTGAATACTCTCAAGATAGTTGAGTTGGAATAAACTGTCATTTGGTCATTGCAGAGCAGACTTTGGGTAACTGTCCAGTGGGATATAATCATGTTTGGGTAATTGTGCGTCAGAATGAGCTCATGATTCCGGCAAAATGGAACAGCGAGCCGAGACAAATCCCTGAGGAGAGGAGAAGCCGCTCTGTTTGGGCCACTGGAGCAGAAAAGGAGAGGAAAGCTGTGTCAGAGAGAGAGAGAGGGAGAGAGAGAGAGAGAGAGAGAGAGAGAGAGAGAGAGAGAGAGAGAGAGAGAGAGAGAGAGAGAGAGAGAGAGAGAGAGAGAGAGAGAGAGAGAGAGAGAGAGAGAGAGAGAGAGAGAGAGAGAGAGAGAGAGAGTGTAAGTGTGGAGAGGAAAGCTGTCAGAGAATAAAAACATTTAAAAGGAAAACATGTCATTAGGACCCTCAGGTGAAAGTCGGCGTGTTTAAAGGGTAGGCTAATACATTTTTACTGTTAAATTAGGCTACATGTCATTACTATAAAACCCACAATAGAACCACTAAAGCAGTCATTTGGAGGGCTCAATAATTTCAGGATGGCATGTCATTTTTTATATGGTTTTCCCTATTGCACCTCTGTCTCTCGAAAGTAAGGCCAGCTCCCCTCCTTCTGCCGATAGTTGAAGATGGCATACCCAGTTGAAAATCACCCCGATAATTGCCTCGAAAGTGAACCTAAATTATACCGAAACTAATTTCAGACATAGGCCTATAATAAGAGATGAAATAAATATGATGGGGGAGAATGGATGAGTTGATGAGCGAGGGGAAGCAAACAATGCATAATTATGTAATCACCAATTGTGATTGAAGAACAGGGTGGACCGTTCTATTGTATTGATCTATTCTAAATCAGTCTACTCTGGCCTAATTGGCGTACACAATGAGAGCGTGTGTAATTTACAATGGCAAGAAGACCAAGACGAATGGATACACTTGTTAGCGTTGCTACAACCTGAATGAAAACGACTCTGATGATGGGGAAGAAATACGTCATGATGACATCTCTGATGAGTATTCTTCTGATTCTGAGCCTCAACCTGAACCTACACTTCCGAGGCCTAAGCGCAAAAAAGCCAGATCTATGCGCACTTAGCAGGTTTCCAGGCCAACACCAAATGAAACGGTGAGACAGGAGAGAGGAAGGCACCGTTCGGGAATATAATTCTATGGGCTATTATCAGCACAAAATGTCATCACTGAGGGAGCAGGCCCTACATCTCAAGCAAGAAATAAAATCAGCAACGCACTCAACAGCTTTCCTTGTTTATGTGACATGGACCTGCGCCAACTGATAATTTACTTGTTGACTGCTGTCATATCAACACATATTCATAATGTTTACATATCTGGCACTACTCATCTCATATGTATATATTGTATTGTATTCTATAATATTCTACTGTATCTTAGTCCATGCCACTCTGTCATTGCTTGTCCATATATGTATATATTCTTAAATTCCATTCTTTAGTAGATTTGTGTGTATTGGGTATATGTTGTGAAATTGTTAGTTATTACTTGTTAGATATTACTGCACTGTCGGAGCTAGAAGCACAAGCATTTCGCTGCACCCGCAATAACATCTGCTAAACACGTGTATGTGACAAATACAATTTGATTTGATTTTATATTGTGATGATTTTCACTATTATCAAGCACACTTGTAATGATGTTTAGGCTACTGATGTTTTTGTCATTTGACCATGCATCTTGCTGACCATGCTTCTTGGTGGTTGAAACTATTTATTTGTATTTTGTTGTTATAAACATAAGCTTATAGCCTACCAGGTTCCAACACCAATGCTTTCTGTTTCATAGTTGTAACATAGGCACTCCACGAACACAATTTATTGAACACTTAATATTATTATTTGTATTTTTATATAGCCTATATACACATTGGAGGTACCTTAAAAAAAACGGAAATTAAATGTCCGTCCAACAAATTTGTTCTGGCGCCCGCCCTGGTCAAAAATATGCAAATATTTTGAAATTCAGAGAGGGGGCATATTATTTTTCGATGGACTGACTAAGCGAATGTATCATTTCATTTCATAACATCCTATTGCCTTCTGACAGGCTCTGATAAACCTTTATGCAACCTCATATTGAGCCTATAAGTGTCTTTGTGCTGTTCTTCAGTCTGTTTTCGCCCAAGACCATATTCTAATTATTAAAAAAAGGAAACACGAGGAAAACCAGGCTGTAGTAGAAGACTTTATATACAAGCAAATATCTCTGTCATATCTGCAAACACCCACTTTGGAGGAGAACAAACAGTGGCTTCGGGGGAAGAGACAGAGACAGGGTAATGGAATTAATATTGATGTGAGGAATGTCTTTCCTCATGCATATCCAGATGCCCTATGGAAGAAAACCTCCTGGGGTTCCTAGGAAGTTAATCTGTACTGGAATTATACTTCAGGATTTGATGAATGCACATTTTATGATTTTGTATTCACAACATGACTTTTTTTTCCACATTTTGTTAAATTACAGCCTTACTCTAAAATTGATTTAAAAAAAATACTTCCTCAGCAAACTAGTGAAGAAGCGACTCCGGGATGCTGACCTTCTAGGCAGATTTGCAAAGAAAAAGCCATATCTCAGACTGCCCATCTTAATCTTTACTTTTTATTGGCCAGTCTGAGATATGGCTTTTTCTTTGCAACTCTGCCTAGAAGGTCAGCATATTGGAGTCGGTGAGACTGGTGTTTTGTGGGTACTATTCAATGAAGCTGCCAGTTGAGGACCTGTGAGGCGTCTGTTTCTTAAACTAGACACTCGAATGTATTTGTCCTCTTGCTCAGTTGTGCACCGGGGCCTCCCACTCCTCTTTCTATTCTGGTTAGAGCCAGTTTGCGCTGTTCTGTGAAGAGAGTAGTACACAGCGTTGTACGAGATCTTCAGTTTCTTGGCAATTTCTCACATGGAATAGCCTTCATTTCTCCGAACAAGAATAGACTGACGAGTTTCAGAAGAAAGTTATTTGTTTCTGGCCATTTTGAGCCTGTAATCGAACCCACAATTGCTGCTGCTCCAGATACTCAACTAGTCTCAAGAAGGCCAGTTTTATTGTTCTTTAATCAGCACAAGAGTTTTCAGCTGTGCTAACATATTTGCAAAAAGGTTTTCTAATGATCAATTAGCCTTTTAAAATGATAAACTTGGATTAGCAAACACAACGTGCTATTGGAACACAGGACTGATGGTTGCTGATAATGGGTCTCTGTACGCCTATGTAGATATTCCATAAAAAATCAGCCGGAATTATGGTTTTAGACATTTTTACAAATTAATTAAAAATGAAAAGCTGAAATGTCTTGAGTCAATAAGTGTTCAACCCATTTCTTATGGCAAGCCTAACTAAGTTCAGGACTAAAAATATACTTAACAAGTCACATAATAAGTTGCATGGACTCACTCTGTGTGCAATACAGAGCATGTGAGCGGAGTGTAGCGGGAGCGAGCGTGGAGCGCGAGCGGGCGGATTTTGGACAGAGCGCAGAGCGGCATTTTTAAAAGGACGGAGCGTCGCCCTATGTCCCGCTCCAATTTCGCTCGCTCACACCACGAGTCTGAAGCATGCTCAAGCCTGACCCAGAATCCATCTGTTTAATTTAATTTGTGTTGTCCATGAATTTGTATTTTATAGAGCGAGAGGAGCAGCAGCAGCAACAAGAGAAAAGGGTTGAGGAATTCAAAAGTTTCTTCACTGCACGCAAAGGCCCAACCATAACAAGGGAGAGAAAAAGAGAGCTGGATGTAGCATTTTTAAAAATGATTTTCATGGACTATGAACCGCTGAGTAAAGGAGAACATGAAGGGATGCAACACTTCGCCAGCGCAGCTCAACCGGGCAACATCCCCCCTTGCTACAACACCATACGGGACACGCTCATGCCACATGCCCTGGAAGAGATGGAAGCCAAACTGCAAGACCTACTGCAAAATGGTGATGGGCTCGTTCTGTCAGCGGACATTTGGACCAGTAGAAGAGGGCACAGCTTCCTTGGCATCGTGGCCAGTTTAATTGATGGGACGTTCCGGGGGCACACGGTTTTGTTGGGCTGTGAGCACATACAGGGGCACCATACCGCAGATCGTATTTACCAAAAGTATGAAAGTGTACTGAAATATTGGAACGTGCAACAACGTGTGATTCGGGT